AATACCACCAGAACAATTACATTCTTTGTTCTCTCCTTTTCAAATTTGATTTAAAACTTTCTTCAAATGAACGCATTGTAAAATTTATAACTAAAAATTTCCTGTCTCTACATTATCACCAACTGTGTAATACATTATTAATGTCATCCCTTCGACAAGGGCAGGAAGAAGAAGTTAACAAATTGAATGTTCGGCTTTTTAAAACGGGATAATTTCCAATTTTTCTTTCCACTTATTAGTGTCTCTCTTGTGACAGTGAAATATACTGAACTAAACTTAAAAAGAATTTTTAATATTTGTTTCTTTGTGGACGAGGCTTATACCAAACGGTAGGGTAATCAACATTACAGATTTAATTGATTAACTTAATCAGAATACCATGGAGAGAGAAAGTTAGGAACGAGAAGGTATTCGAAAGAGTAGGAGAACAGAAACCACTATGGAAGTCAATAAGAATTAGGCGAAGTAGGTTGGCAGAAACAGGAGTTAAGAGGAGTAGAGTAGATTAGATTACTGTTCACAAATAGTTAAGGATGTGTAATGTTGTAGTTTTAGGGAAATACCAAGATGAAGAACCAGTCTTAGGACCGTATAAGAATCAGAGATGTGATTTGTTTGAAATACTTCCATTTAAAATGTAAATACAAAATTAAAGATACCTATTTTTAACTTGCATTTAAATACTTTTTTGAGAAAAGCATTTTGTATTTTATTTACAATACTTTTCCAAATGTATTTTTTATTTATAAAATGCAAAATACATTTTTGCCGTTAAAAGTTTTGCTGGTATCACCGATCAAACATTATATAAAAAGATGAATCAAAATTGCTAACATTGATTATTGAAGGTATTAGAAGCTTAAAAAGGGGACAAAGGGACATTCCATGATTGTCTTCTAATTCTTTAACTGAAGAGAGCCCAAAAAATACTAACCCCCTTGGAAATGGATAATCTAAAATATTGGATGGATATTGTTTTCCGGGTTCAATATCATGGTCCATGGAATTTTTAAATTCCAAATTGATATCAGCACCTGTCAAATCACCACTTATCGTACCTTTAAAAGGAACTACCAAATTTTATGAATTACGACAAAATGGCCCGCAAAATAATATAGAATTGATAAATTTCAGCCGTGTAAAACTGAAAACTACAAGATATTGTGGTGTGCTAATAAATGCCTATAATCTAAAGCTAAAGAAACTGTGGATTCCATTTCTTTATCTTATTACAATGTGTAAAAGATCGGATGCAAAATGAAGTTGTCAATATTTTGATATAAAATGGCTGATGTTAATTATTTGCAACCCTATTTTGGCTCTGGTCATTCACGCTAAACAAACTTGTAATGTACACGATCTTACATCCTTAACTATTTGAGAATAGTAATGAAATTCAAGTCTTCTTCTGTTCCCCTTTACTTCAGTTTCTGCTTCTAACATGTCTCTAATTGTAAGTAATCCTTCACGTCTCAGAAATTGTCCTACTGTCATATTTTTTCTTCTCCTTGTTAACATCCGTCCTTGTTCTCTTTCTCTTTTCAATACGTTCTCTTTTCTAACCTTTCCCATCAACGGTATTTTCAGAATCCCCCTATAAAATAACATATCATCTCAAAAGCTTCTAATAACTTTTTCTTTTCTGCTGCGTCCATCTTTCACATTTCGTTTCTTTATAGAGCCGTGCTCCAAACGTACAATTTTAATAATCCTCTCCGAATTTCGAATTTAACCATTAGTTAAAAGCGATATCGACAGATATAGAAAATCGGCGACTTTTAAATTTTATAGCCTTTAAATTATTCAATTTTTACACCTATATATGTTGAAGTCGTTTAAAGACATTTTCATGTTATGTTCCATATTATGGAGTGTTACATTATCCTTTATTTGCCAATCAATTTTCCATTAAGTAATTGAAGTACTTTAAATAGGTATAATTATGAGCCNTACTTTTTTGAGAAAAGCATTTTGTATTTTATTTACAATACTTTTCCAAACGTATTTTTTATTTATAAAATGCAAAATACATTTTGTTTGTGTTAAGTTTTGCTAGTATTACCGATCAAACATTACATAAAATGATGAATGAAAGTTGCTCACATTGGCCATTGAAGGTATTAGAAGCTTAAGAAGGGGACAAAGAGACATTCCATTAATGCCTTCTATTTCTTTAAAAAAGAGAGCCAAAAAAATTCTAAACTCCTTGGAAATGGATTATCTAAAAGATTGGATCGATACTGTTTTCCGCGATCAATGTCATGATCCATGGAATTTTGAAGTTCCAAATTGATGTCGGTACCTGTCAAATCACCTCTTATCGTACGTTTAGCAAGAAACTGCGAAATTCTATGAATTACGACAAAACAGCCCGCAAAACAATATCGAATTGACGTATATCAATTGTGTAAAACTAAAAACTACAAGATATTGTAGTGTGCTAATAAATGCCTACAATCCAAAATTCTTAGAAAACGATTCGAAAAACTTCAGTTATTAGATGAACCCAAAGCTAAAGAAACTATGGATTCCATTTCTTTCTCTTATTACAATATGTAAAAGATCGGAAACAAAATGGGGTTGTAAGTATCTTGATATAAAATGATTGCTGTTGATTTTACATCAGTAAAATTATTTGCAACCTTATTTTGGCTTTGATCTTTCACGCTAAGTAAACTATTTTGGCATCACTGTCTTTTTTCCAATTAAAATGGCTGACAAAGGCAAATAAGGAAGCATATAGAAGAATTATTTGTTACTGAACTGAAGAAACCATAACATAAAGATAGGAAAACTAAATCTCAATCACTTCAAAAAGAAAAATATAAATCATACTCAATCAACGCAGCTGGTGACATAGTGCAAACACCATAATTAGTCTAGAAAAAACTCCAATAAGTATTTAAAAACTGAGAAAATGCCTGCAAGGTTTTCTTAAAAAATATTTTATACTCATACGAATGTAGGTAATCAAATAGGTACTACAAAAAAAGTATTTTGAAAATACGTATTTAGCATTTAAAATACAAAAGGGAAATCTATTTTGTATTTTACATTTGAAATAACAAATCAAAAAAGTATTTACATTATGTATTCAAATACTTTCAGAAAAAACATTTTGTATATCTCTAATGAGAATAATGATCATGCGTCATGAATGTATTTTGGGTTCCATATTTTAGTATTGATCGCTGTCATATAACTTATTTTCTTATTAAAAATACACGATAATGATGTTCCCAAAAACACGAGACAATTTTACTTCGAATTCTCCTTCCAAAGTAGTAAATCTCTCGATAATTTTTTACAGCTCGTAAGTATAAAAAAATCATAACTTTTTACTTTACCTCCCGTACTCTAACGTTAGCCCGTGCATTCACGCGGCATTTAAAGAACTTTTTATCTGTTATCCCCTGGGAATGGATACTTCTCTCTTTTTTTTTCTTCTTCACGGAAGAAGCTTTTCTTAAGTTGTTAAAAGAATATTTAACAAAGAAAGTTTTCAACGGTACGTAATCGGGATTGACCGATCACAAAGGGCGCTACATTTGTGATCGGAAATTTTGACGAGGGTGAGTTCTCTCAGTTGCTGCGTCTGACCGTTGAAGTAGGTTAAAGTGTGCTTTGAAGCACGAGCCCACTGCCAACACAAACCAACGTCGTACGTACTTAGAGCTTTTAGCGAAAACGTGTTAGGCATAGTAAACTAAGGAGAGAAGTTGCATTTAATTACCTTTGTAATTATTAATAGGCCTTCCTGTAATTAGCAACCGTTTCACTTACTAATAGATATATAAGCAAGTTTTTGGTTTATTGCAAAATTACAATTCCCCTTCCGCTGGTTTCTGGTTNTTTACCAAATTAACTATCAATTATTGTATATGCGTATAGACTGCTTTAAAACAACAAAAAAAAATAAAATACGTACGTATATTATCAGTATAGGTAACCTACCCTAACCCAACCCACATATTGAATTATTTCTTTTTGAAAAATATTAATTTCGTTATTAATTTCTGTAAACTACAGCACATTAAAAGATGATAAAAAAGCTATTTCACTCTTAATACCTACATTTATTTCTACCTATACTTGTGCTTAACAGATAGGATAAAATGCTAAAACTTTGAACGTTAGGGACATAAATTCACCTAGAATTATATCCAACTAAACACGAAACCAAAGATGAACTTCTCCCAGTTAGGAAATAAATAACTATTTCGCATGTGCCTGCATTTTGTACACGAGCGATTTACTGAAACGAATATTTTTCACCTGATGCAGACTACAGAGGTAGTACGAGACACCTAATTTACTTCGGACTAAGGTGCCATTTTGTATCTTGCTTTTCAGAAATGTATTGGTACCTATTCCCTTGCATATTTATTAAACCGTTCGTTGATATATATGTGACTGTTGATATATGCCAAGTTAAAGAAATAAATTTCAGCAAAGTACCTATACCTGCCATTTTGTAACTATGATTTTACAATTTTTAAGTTAAAGCGATTACCTGTACCAAAAACAATCATTAAAATAGCACTTACCGATTTACACTCAAAAATGTAAATTAAACTAATAACTAAAAAAAATATAATTACCTTTTCCAATGTTATTTGGCTAATCTTTAATACTTAAATACTTGACCAAACCAAACATATATAAAACGTATTACTTTTTATAAATATGAAATTATGCACCCAAAGACCCCCATGCTGCCCTCTCACGTATAATAGCATAAATTGAAACTCTGTATAATACGAAAATAAACTTTACCTATTACCAATACACCAACATAAAAAATGCTGCAAATTAGAATAAAAATATTAATTCCTTAAAACCTTTGAACAACGTCCCACAATACCATAATTTCAAAAAAATACTCCAAACAAACACTTAATGAAATATATTTCGAATGAAATTAATCATTTTTTCTCTTCCAGAATCAAAAATTCAAATTATTGTTGGTGACCCTGTTCGTTGTATTCTGATTACATCTTTGTTATTTTGCGCATATTTGTACGCAACGCGAATTTATTGGTGTTTGTAACCTAATTTAATTTTTTAATAACTAGTCCGGCAACAATAAACAATAATTTGTTAACAAAAGTATTGAAATTGACCAAAGTTCGTTTCTTTTTGGAAATGGCAGAAAGATACGAATCTAGTGAAAGAAATTACGACTGTTATTCAAGTGATTTCAAACGTGACAAAAATAACGAGAATGAAGAAGACGATGGCAACGATCACAGGAGAAGCATAGAACATGATAATCCTAATGAAGCTAATCCAGCTAGTCAAAAAGCCGCCGAATATGTACGCGATCTCCTTGCTGAAAAACTATCCCTTGATCAGGGTAAACACCGTAATGCTTCGAGGCTAATTGATGAAGGTATATACCAATTACTTTTTTTCATTTTGAAAGATCTAATTGAACCTTTAATCATTTTCCACAGAGATTACGAAAGTTCAGACATTGGGAAGAATTCCTGCAAGAGATGTAAGATATGTGGACATTTATAGAGAAAAGCCAATTAAAGTTACAGTTAAAGTTCTTGTTCCCATTAGGGAACACCCAAGGGTATGTCATTGAACAATTTTCTGTGTACACTTGAATTATTTAGAAAAAACTTTAGTTCAACTTTGTTGGAAAACTTTTGGGACCTAAAGGAAACTCAATGAAACGTTTACAAGAAGAAACCATGTGTAAAATGGCCATTTTGGGTCGTGGCTCTATGAGAGATCGTCAGAAAGAAGAGGAATTAAGACAATCACTTGAACCAAAGTATGCCCATTTGAATGACGAACTCCATGTTGAAATATCTGCTCTAGGACCACCTGCTGAAGCCCACGCTCGAATTGCTTTTGCACTTGCAGAAGTACGTAAATATTTAATTCCTGATAGCAATGATAATATCAGACAAGAACAGCTAAGAGAGTTAGAAATTATGACTGCCACTGATCCCAATGCTGAATGTCCCTTTCCGACCAAAAGATCTACAGTACCCAGAGGTAAAACATTTAAATTCATTTGTATTTTATTTTTAATGAAAAATGTTTAGTTTACAATAAGCAATTTTTCCTAGGTATGATACCTCATGAGCGCATGAAAGACATAGATGACCCAACTAAGGAGAGCCCCCTGCCCCCTAAACGACCTGCTTTATCACGAGGTAAATCTACCATCCATTAAAATTTCAAAAAAGAATTACTTACATTTTGTTTAAGAATTTTTCTGGCATTCTCTCCTTTCATGTTGTCATCACTCAATCAATGTAGCTGAAAAGAAAATTAAATATTGAAACAAATGTAAAATTTTATCTTCTTAACATTAAAAAAAATTTTTTTCACTAATGTACTGTGGTGAATTTCAATATTTTTTCAAAAGCCTAATTTATGGATATTTTATAGCAGCACCACGGGGGCCTCCAATAATGAGAAGTGTTTCCCGACCCACTATAAGCAGTAGAACAGTCATGCCAGCTAAAACTAAAATAATGTCTATCTTAGATAGAGCTCGAGTTGCCATGGAAGAAAGTTACGGAGGGGTTGAAGAACCCTACGAGCCTGTCGAACCGGCCTACGTGTCTTACCCCGCGATCGCAACCCATGCCAAATCATATTCAACATATTCATATGGACAGGCTGAGTATGAATCAGAATATTATACAAGAGAGCCTGAATATGGTAAGAGAGACTTTAGCATTATGTGTGTTTAGGATTTTTAGCAATAATACCTTAACCTTTATTATTTCACATCTAGCGACAAATAAACTAAACCGTTTAAAATAAAAATTCTGCGTTTTCTATACAATACGTAGTAAAATAAAATATGATAAATAAAAGCACTCAACTTTGTTCAAAACATCTAATAAATAAACAAAATCACTAAAACCTGAGATAATTAAAAAATAAAATATGAATAATAAAAACTATGTTAATGAATTAAATAAGGTAATTAATACTCATAATTTTTCTCCTGCACTCAGTCTTTTCTTTCATTCAGGTAAATTCATTTAAAATAAACGTTTTAAGCAGTCTCTTAACTGCAAAAAATTTAATAGAAAAGGCACAATTTCATTTTTGTGAAATATCCAAAATATTTCTCCCGTGCTTTGCATTAATTAAACGTAGATATGCATGAAAATAATTTTAAACATTTATCATATTAATCATACCGTTCTGAACAGAACCTTCGGGTCATCGTTGGAAAAATTATAAATCGAGCGGAGGCACATCGCGCCCCCTCGAATCCTCGACCCGATATCGAGCATCGCCCTACACACGTTCAGCAAAATAAGTCGAAGATATAAATAAAATAATTAACTGATTAATTTGCAGACTGATTTTGTAACTTAGCTTAAATCCAACAAATTCATTAATTTATTTAACAAATTACGCCAGGGAGGGGAGAGTTGTCAATTATTTTTTTAATTTAGTTTACAGTAACTAAACAAAATGTATTTTACGATTAATGAGGGAAATGTAATCTAAAAAGCTCTTATCGGTAATGCGAACCATTACAAAACCAATGTGTATTTTTTGTTGGCGCTATGAATAATTTTTAAAATAAATCTCCAAATAATCATGATTTCTGTAATCATAAAGTTGCAAATCCAGTCTAAGCTCATCGGTTACATAAAAGTTCTACAAATAACTAAGATAATTCTTAGCAATAACTGAATTTAATAACTTAATCGTTTTCAAAATAAATTTGTAGTTGCGATTTTCATCAGCTGTAGAAAGTAATAAATGTTTAATTAAACCCTTATCGTGTCTTAAGTGGTATATTACACAAGTAAAACTCGCCAGATTCAATATGAAAAGCGCAAATTTATCATCGTCCCGGTTTATTAATCCCCAGTTAAATCATACATCACATTAAATCAACTCAAGACATGGTACAAAGTAGTAACGCTTAAATTTTATACTTAAATAAAATCGTTCAGGTCATCAACTAATTTATTATTTCTAATTAAAAAGTGACAATTTAACTGAGTATTTGTAAACCGTTAATAAAAAGAAACAATTTAATGTAACGTAGATAGAAAGCCCTTGAATTCATTTAATAAATGTGTATGCTAACAAATGTGTTTCGAATAAATATAAATAATAAAACTACCATTTATTTCGTGTATACGTAGCAAGGACTATGACAGTATGTAACAGGATAAATTGNTTCTCCTTCCAAAGTAGTAAATCTCTCGATAATTTTTTACAGCTCGTAAGTATAAAAAAATCATAACTTTTTACTTTACCTCCCGTACTCTAACGTTAGCCCGTGCATTCACGCGGCATTTAAAGAACTTTTTATCTGTTATCCCCTGGGAATGGATACTTCTCTCTTTTTTTTTCTTCTTCACGGAAGAAGCTTTTCTTAAGTTGTTAAAAGAATATTTAACAAAGAAAGTTTTCAACGGTACGTAATCGGGATTGACCGATCACAAAGGGCGCTACATTTGTGATCGGAAATTTTGACGAGGGTGAGTTCTCTCAGTTGCTGCGTCTGACCGTTGAAGTAGGTTAAAGTGTGCTTTGAAGCACGAGCCCACTGCCAACACAAACCAACGTCGTACGTACTTAGAGCTTTTAGCGAAAACGTGTTAGGCATAGTAAACTAAGGAGAGAAGTTGCATTTAATTACCTTTGTAATTATTAATAGGCCTTCCTGTAATTAGCAACCGTTTCACTTACTAATAGATATATAAGCAAGTTTTTGGTTTATTGCAAAATTACAATTCCCCTTCCGCTGGTTTCTGGTTTACTCATAACAATGAGTAAAATAAAGTTCCACTATTCATTAATAAAATTATGAAAAATGTTGCGAATTCACCAATTGTATTTTTTGACTAACATAATCGTCATCATAAGGTCGTCACTCCTAAGACTGGTTGGACATGCACCTCCACTCTTTCCTATCCTGAGTTAATCTTTGCATTTCCCTAAAACTAGACCATTCCACATCTTTAACTATTTGCGAATAGTAATCTAATCTAGATCTACCTCTACCCCTCCTAACTCCCGTTTCTGCCTCTAATATGTCTCTAACTAGATCTTCATGCCTGAGAAGGTGTCCTACCAACCTATCTCGCCTATTTATTATTGATTTCATTGAGTCCTTTGTTCTCCTATTCTTTCTAATGCCTCTTCATTTCTAACCTTCTCTATCCACGGTATCATCATCATTCGCCTGTAACACCGCATTTCGAACGCTTCTAACCTTTTCTTTTCCGCCGCGCCCACCTTCTATGTTTCGCACCCGTCGCACAGCGCCGCGCTCCAAACTTACACCTTTAAAAACCTTTTTCGAATTTCTAAATTGACCGTTCGCGAACAAAGAAGTAACTTCTTTTTATTGAAGGCGACTCGACCCTGCGCTATCCTTTACTTTATATCCCTACCACTCCCTCCGTCCTGACTTATTTGACTTCCTAGATGCCTAAAATCGGTCACTTCTGCTAATTTTTCGTCTCCAATTTTTATATTCGCTCTTTCCCTATTGTTTCATTCCTTATATACTAGTATTTTTGTTTTACTTTCTTGAATACATTTACTATGTGTAGCACTGATTTCATTATGAATAAGTCAAGAGTCGAATCCAAGATCACGAAGAAGGGTGGTGAAGCGGCTTGTTTGGGTAAATAAATTATCGTTACCCATCAGCTAACATGAAATTGCTAAATAAATTTTTAACTATGTTATGCTAAATTATACAAATCCGCTTTTAATATTAGATCAAGCACAACAATTTAAATTTTAATTTTCTTCCGTCGAAATTTAGCAGTGTATTAGTCTAATTAAAATAGACATTTAGTTAGAAAAAGTTCGTATAGAGCAAAAAATTGGTACACATACTTAAAACAACAAAAGTTGACTAAAAGACCTGAATTGTTCCTAATAGATCTGAGGTAGAGAAGTTTTAGTTGGTAGGTCTTCCTACACTATAATTAAAATCAAATCATACATTTACTGAAATGATTAATTCATAAATTCGAAAGCCTTCTTTTGATAGAATTTAAAAAAGAGCAAATATATAGGATCATACATACAGCCAATACAATTTATTGCAAAAACAACCTAGAAATAAAACATAGCGTACAACTTACCAAAAGAAGCATTCACTATAGGTATGTATATGTGGATCTTAAGAAATCGTGAAGCATAAACCCTGAAAATAAAAGGAGAATAAATTAATTAAGGAGAAAAATTGTTTGAAAACAAATAAGGTATCACACCCCAACATAGATGAAAACTCACTGGTCAGAAATAAAATATAACCTTCTTAATAAACCCTACACGTAACTTTAAACATTTTCGTTAAACATTAATTTTTCTTATTTTTAATTCCGTACCTATAAATTAAAATAGAAAAATCGAAATCAAAAGCAATTCACGAAAAATTCTCAAATCAATTACAATAAGACTAAATCGGTAAAGAACCAGTCAGCATGAAAAGGACCTTAATTCGCCCTAAAACGGCCTGAGGTAGAAGGGTTTTAGCTGGTAGGTCCTCCTTCGAGAAATCTAACACTACCCAGTCGTATGTATATACTGCTATGTTCTATGAAGATTTCCCCTTCTCCTCATAGATAATAAAAATTAAAAAGTTCTTACCTATCTTACTTCCGCTAAAACTTTTTTTAGAAATTTCATACAAAATAGTACCTATATGTACCTAAATGGTTTCATATAAGAAACGGTTTCAGATATTTTCTAGGCTATTTTCACAGGAAATAGATGTGTTGTAACGATTTTTTGTTCTGCCTTACAAAGCCTTGGATGAATATGGAATATTATTAATTTAGGATAAATAAGTGGAGAATTAATATGAGGATAATAAGAGGATAGAGTATAAAGTGAGATAAGACTATAAGAGGATACAAGGGTTCTCGTAACTTGGTCGCATAGGGCGTCGCAGTAATAGTAGAAATTTTATGTTGAAATATAACTTTGTGGGGAACCCTAATTGGTAAGGGCTAAAGCCCTCATGTAAATTCGACGCTGTCCTTATTGTCTAAATACATCACTGACAATGAGAAGGGGTCGATTTTTAACCACATTCTTTTAGAGATAAGAATATAAGATACAATAAAGAAAAAAACTTGACGTTAGGACATAGAATGGACACCACTCTGACGCAAGGATGGTCAAGGATTCTCGTGAGTGGGTCTCATAGACCGTCAATGTCATGTTGAAATATGCTTTTGTGGGAGACCCTAATTGGTAGGGGTCATAGGCACAGGCTCCAAATGCTCTCATGTAAATTCGACCCCGTCCTTATTGTCCAAATCTGTCACTGACAATAAGAAGGGGTCGATTTTTAACCCCTTTCTTTTAGAGATAAGAATATAAGATACAATAAAAAGAAAAACTTGACGTTAGGACTTAGAATGTAAAAATTTACAGGTATCTTTGTAACTTAATAAACAATATATGCCCAAATTTTAATTGAATTTTCTCTCATGTCTCTATTATGCATTTCTAATTAAAATCTCTTAATTCGCCTAACGACGGTGAAATACTGCTTATCGTTATTTTCATCAAAATACCTCTATTGTCTTAATTTTTTCTCGTTTTCTAATGTTCAATGAAAAACAATAAAGTTGCTATATTACTTATTTCCAGATTAAACAGAAATACAATGTTGACATGTTCCAAGATTAGAATTAATCGCTAGAGCAACTGCTACTGAACGAATAAAACGTTGTCGAATGACATAACTAAAGTTTCCTGGATTTGACTGGGTTTATCGTGAACCGTATCCACCTGTACTTCCCCGTCAACTAATTTCTACCATTTGGTTGAACTACAAAGACTTAATTAAAGCTCCTAATTGCTAGAAGCTTCGATACCAGCTCTTCTTTTATTACCTGGGGGATTTGCCAGCTCGAAGGAAATTTCCCAAGAGCTTCAGACAATGTTTTACTGTAAATACTTTCAGGACCAGGCGTTAAATTATAATGAAATGGTCTTTCGAAACGCGTCTGACTCTTTGATTAAATAACGTACCACCTGTTAATACGAGACAGAAATCTATCGATCTTGTTTTTTTAATTAACGATTCTACGGGAAAATTAATCACGGTTACAAAAGAATTATAGTTTTCTCCAAGTCATATAGCATATACAAGATGCTAATCCCAATTAGAAAGATACTCCTTGGTATCGAAACGCATTTTAGGATTTTAAAGGTTTTATGGGAAATTATGGGTTTTTATCCTTTATCTAGTTCAGTTCCACAGAATTTTTATTTTATTTCCTAGTATTCTGCACAATCAGATACCTATCATTTTAGTCTATAGCTACTATGCAGTCCCTAATACAACTTTTTGTTATGGACTAATGCCGTCGGCGATCGATACCAACGGCACCTTTGACTTACGGGAAGTTTCCGAAAATAATCAGGAATAATAAACTCCTATAATAAGCAAGCTATTGCACTTAGACGAACTTTTAGATCACCCCGTATTTTTTAAAATAATTATAATATAAAACTTCTGATCGCTCTGATCGTTCTTAAATATCCGTGGGATTTTTATTGATATTTTTTTTAAACAGAAATAATCCTCCATTAAAACTAGTTCTAAAAAACTAACGCCGTCAATATTTAAAATAACTGTGGGCACATCGTTTTAAATTAAAAAAAAAAAGCCGTTAAAAAATTGGGCTTTCCAATTCCTTTTGCTTTTTGTTAAAAGCATCAGTCTGAACAAAATTGGAATGAGCTTTCACTCTAATGAATATATTGATTCGTTCAATGCACTAGAGCGAATTTAAACACTCCAGTAAACACTTTACTGTGTTAATTACGGATTATTGAAAGCCGCTGGGGAAAGAAAATTAAAAAAAAAAATTATAACACTAGCGACAGCATTCCCGCAATTTTGAGGTATTTCACTATTTCATCTGACAATATGCTAGAAAATAAATAAATAAATAGACTATATCCCTTGCCAATTAATACTTACAAAAACGTTCTGATTTGTAAGAAAATAACCACGTTTTTGTTTTCTAAATTGGGTACTTAAAATTAATATAACCAGGTCTAGCTTTGAATACTAAAGTCAGCAACTAGATAAAAGTGTACACTTAAAATAAAATATTTTGTAATAATAATGCACAAAATGCTTATGCAATAACAAAATTAATTACACAGATTATCAGAACATGCCGTTAAATACCAATACTGTGAAAATTTATTAGATACTAAAAAAGTCCGACTTGCATTTGCCCGGTTTTTTCGAGCTAAATGTGACCCAAAAACGATCCTTATTACCGCAACCAAATTTATGGACATTTTAGCTCCTTAAGCGATTAATGACTGATTATCTCGAATTTAAAGAGTTAAATAAAATGCCTACATACATAAAAAATAAAAATTAACGGTAAAGGTCTAGATGATGGCCCCCTCCACCTTCGGGGGTAGGGATAGGGGGGATCGAAAGAGGAGGTTACCCCCACCATTGTACCATAAATAGTTCGTGCCGGTCTCACCCCCCATAAAAAGTTATAGGGGTTCAAAGTTAATAAATATGCCAATTTTTATACATTTATAGGCATGTAAATATTTATATAGTCATTCTTAAACAATATTCAAAGGTAAAACTAATGAAAAATACATAAAAATATTGAGAAAGTTATATAAAACATTATTTAAATATCTTTATCAATAGGGTAAGTTAGGTTAGGTTATCGGGTTTTGTTCAAGTGACTACCCTCTTTCGATCCCCCACCTCCACCCACTTGAAAATATTTTTTTTATTGAATTTTATTTGAATTATAGTGTATGAAAATTGTCAAAATAATTAACTTTCAATCCCCATAACTTTTTATGGGGGTGAGACCGCCGCAAATTTTTTATGGGGTTTTACTCAGGTGACCACCCTCTTTCGATCCTCCCTACCCTCTTTCAATCCCCCCTACCCCCACCCCCATTTAACCCCCATAACTTTTTATGGGAGTGACACCGCCACGAATATTTTATGGTACAGTGGTGGGGGAGACATCCTTTTTCGATCCCACCCACCCTCACCCCCGAAGGGGGTGGGAGCCATCATCTAGACATTTACCAAATTAACTATCAATTATTGTATAGGCGTATAGACTGCTTTAAAACAACAAAAAAAAATAAAATACGTACGTATATTATCAGTATAGGTAACCTACCCTAACCCAACCCACATATTGAATTATTTCTTTTTGAAAAATATTAATTTCGTTATTAATTTCTGTAAACTACAGCACATTAAAAGATGATAAAAAAGCTATTTCACTCTTAATACCTACATTTATTTCTACCTATACTTGTGCTTAACAGATAGGATAAAATGCTAAAACTTTGAACGTTAGGGACATAAATTCACCTAGAATTATATCCAACTAAACACGAAACCAAAGATGAACTTCTCCCAGTTAGGAAATAAATAACTATTTCGCATGTGCCTGCATTTTGTACACGAGCGATTTACTGAAACGAATATTTTTCACCTGATGCAGACTACAGAGGTAGTACGAGACACCTAATTTACTTCGGACTAAGGTGCCATTTTGTATCTTGCTTTTCAGAAATGTATTGGTACCTATTCCCTTGCATATTTATTAAACCGTTCGTTGATATATATGTGACTGTTGATATATGCCAAGTTAAAGAAATAAATTTCAGCAAAGTACCTATACCTGCCATTTTGTAACTATGATTTTACAATTTTTAAGTTAAAGCGATTACCTGTACCAAAAACAATCATTAAAATAGCACTTACCGATTTACACTCAAAAATGTAAATTAAACTAATAACTAAAAAAAATATAATTACCTTTTCCAATGTTATTTGGCTAATCTTTAATACTTAAATACTTGACCAAACCAAACATATATAAAACGTATTACTTTTTATAAATATGAAATTATGCACCCAAAGACCCCCATGCTGCCCTCTCACGTATAATAGCATAAATTGAAACTCTGTATAATACGAAAATAAACTTTACCTATTACCAATACACCAACATAAAAAATGCTGCAAATTAGAATAAAAATATTAATTCCTTAAAACCTTTGAACAACGTCCCACAATACCATAATTTCAAAAAAATACTCCAAACAAACACTTAATGAAATATATTTCGAATGAAATTAATCATTTTTTCTCTTCCAGAATCAAAAATTCAAATTATTGTTGGTGACCCTGTTCGTTGTATTCTGATTACATCTTTGTTATTTTGCGCATATTTGTACGCAACGCGAATTTATTGGTGTTTGTAACCTAATTTAATTTTTTAATAACTAGTCCGGCAACAATAAACAATAATTTGTTAACAAAAGTATTGAAATTGACCAAAGTTCGTTTCTTTTTGGAAATGGCAGAAAGATACGAATCTAGTGAAAGAAATTACGACTGTTATTCAAGTGATTTCAAACGTGACAAAAATAACGAGAATGAAGAAGACGATGGCAACGATCACAGGAGAAGCATAGAACATGATAATCCTAATGAAGCTAATCCAGCTAGTCAAAAAGCCGCCGAATATGTACGCGATCTCCTTGCTGAAAAACTATCCCTTGATCAGGGTAAACACCGTAATGCTTCGAGGCTAATTGATGAAGGTATATACCAATTACTTTTTTTCATTTTGAAAGATCTAATTGAACCTTTAATCATTTTCCACAGAGATTACGAAAGTTCAGACATTGGGAAGAATTCCTGCAAGAGATGTAAGATATGTGGACATTTATAGAGAAAAGCCAATTAAAGTTACAGTTAAAGTTCTTGTTCCCATTAGGGAACACCCAAGGGTATGTCATTGAACAATTTTCTGTGTACACTTGAATTATTTAGAAAAAACTTTAGTTCAACTTTGTTGGAAAACTTTTGGGACCTAAAGGAAACTCAATGAAACGTTTACAAGAAGAAACCATGTGTAAAATGGCCATTTTGGGTCGTGGCTCTATGAGAGATCGTCAGAAAGAAGAGGAATTAAGACAATCACTTGAACCAAAGTATGCCCATTTGAATGACGAACTCCATGTTGAAATATCTGCTCTAGGACCACCTGCTGAAGCCCACGCTCGAATTGCTTTTGCACTTGCAGAAGTACGTAAATATTTAATTCCTGATAGCAATGATAATATCAGACAAGAACAGCTAAGAGAGTTAGAAATTATGACTGCCACTGATCCCAATGCTGAATGTCCCTTTCCGACCAAAAGATCTACAGTACCCAGAGGTAAAACATTTAAATTCATTTGTATTTTATTTTTAATGAAAAATGTTTAGTTTACAATAAGCAATTTTTCCTAGGTATGATACCTCATGAGCGCATGAAAGACATAGATGACCCAACTAAGGAGAGCCCCCTGCCCCCTAAACGACCTGCTTTATCACGAGGTAAATCTACCATCCATTAAAATTTCAAAAAAGAATTACTTACATTTTGTTTAAGAATTTTTCTGGCATTCTCTCCTTTCATGTTGTCATCACTCAATCAATGTAGCTGAAAAGAAAATTAAATATTGAAACAAATGTAAAATTTTATCTTCTTAACATTAAAAAAAATTTTTTTCACTAATGTACTGTGGTGAATTTCAATATTTTTTCAAAAGCCTAATTTATGGATATTTTATAGCAGCACCACGGGGGCCTCCAATAATGAGAAGTGTTTCCCGACCCACTATAAGCAGTAGAACAGTCATGCCAGCTAAAACTAAAATAATGTCTATCTTAGATAGAGCTCGAGTTGCCATGGAAGAAAGTTACGGAGGGGTTGAAGAACCCTACGAGCCTGTCGAACCGGCCTACGTGTCTTACCCCGCGATCGCAACCCATGCCAAATCATATTCAACATATTCATATGGACAGGCTGAGTATGAATCAGAATATTATACAAGAGAGCCTGAATATGGTAAGAGAGACTTTAGCATTATGTGTGTTTAGGATTTTTAGCAATAATACCTTAACCTTTATTATTTCACATCTAGCGACAAATAAACTAAACCGTTTAAAATAAAAATTCTGCGTTTTCTATACAATACGTAGTAAAATAAAATATGATAAATAAAAGCACTCAACTTTGTTCAAAACATCTAATAAATAAACAAAATCACTAAAACNAATATGTTAGATACCTACGATTTTGATATTTTCAATCAAGGATTTGTTTAATTTAATCAATTATTTTTCTATTCGACTAATTTATTAATCTGAATAAATTTTTTTACTATGCTTTGTTTTGATGCATATATATGTATATTGCATGTAAAGCAAAGATCTTATGAAGAAGAACATATCAATTGTAAAACAGTTTATTATTTTAAATCTTCGGATAATGAATTGTTATTTGTAAGTTACAGTACGAATTTTAAATAGCTGGGCCTATCAAAATAAAAAGCTTATACACAATATACAGAAGATATTTACAGACTTCTACGTGACAAATAGTTAAAAAATATGATAAGAAACTACAAATTATTTTTTTTAAATATTTATATATAATATGCAACAAAGACGGTGTGTAAATGTCATTTCTGTAAAATCAGAAACATAAAACTACCAATCGTAAAACATCCGATTCTTTAAAAATATTATGGGATGTTGATTATTAATACACGTCAAATGACCGATAAATAGAAAAAATTGATTTAATTAAAGGTCCCAATTTAGTTCACTTTATAATAAATTAAACGCGTGTTACACTTTTTCATTGTTTTAAAATGTAAGTAAATGTCATACAATTACATATTTAAACTAACACCCCATTCTTTAAATATATCGTAGTTAACAATTAAAAGAAAAAAAAAATGAGAAAATTCGGAATTAATTTACCGCAGTACATTCATAAATGCAGTCGAATAAGTAGTGAAAATATAATATCTACTGTAACGATATCAAAATCACCCTGCCACACATTAAAGGTACATGCCATACATTGTCTGATTATTTTTATCACATCGAAACACCAATAGCGGACCTTTATACCACGCCCATTAATCGACGAAATCGAATTCTTTTTCTGAAATTGCATACCTAACATAACGAAGAGGAGCGAGATACTATTAATTCTATAAACAATATACAAAAATATGTGTCTCATTTACTGTAATACGATATGGAAGGCACAAAAAATGGTTCAACTTGCATGTTTTGACAGATTTAATGGCATATCTGAAAACAACATAATTAATAATCAATATTATTCTTATTTTTTAAGTTATATGTATGATGTAGCATTTACAATCACTAATTTGTGTTTAAAAAAAAAGTGATACCACTCATATTCCACTGATTTACAAGAATCTCACAGACGTATTTATAATTTATGCACCCTGCTAATTATAAAATACCTCAACTTTGCAAGACTTATGTCCTATGTAAAAATTTCAAAAAATATTTTTGAATTTCATGTAATTATCTACGCAAGAGTATTTTTTTGAGAGCTAATTGTTGGAAAGTACAAAGTGTAATAAATAGAAGCACTTGGCAAAAGGAGAAAAATGATTAAAAACCTTTTATGCTATTTATGTAACATCTGAAATAAATTAAACAACCTGTCCCCTAATTAAATAATGATCACAACAATTTTGTTAAAGGGTCGATCAACAAGTTTGAAACTCAAATGTTAGAACAAGATTACCAAGTTAGGAAATGATACTGATTCCCTAAAAATACACAGGGAACACTGTTATTGTTATTCTCCAATTTGTTCGTTTTAATCTATAATTTATTTTGATTCCTATAGGTACTGATTCATTGAAGCAAAGCAATTCATTTGGAGAAGCAGAGAAAAATATTCTTAATATTTTAAATAATGCAAGAAGATTCTAAAACGTTTAATGTGTTCCTTTACATCGTTAAAAATCAAATCTTTTTTTAAATAAACGTTTTCTAATTACTGTTCAATATGTACTACTTAATTTACCAGTAACTTTAATAAACTTTAATGAGACTTCTTAAAAAAAATAAGTTACCGTTACTATCTTTTGAAATTAAGCTATAAAATATGCATAATTAAGTTTCTAATAACTCTCATATTAATGAAAATATCTTTAAATAACTTTAATAATAAAGCAACTATTCTTTAATAACTGGCATAAACCTTCCAAGAATTGAATAATGATTAATTAAATAGAAATGATTATTCGGATATATGTGGTTGCATTTTTATGTATCATTGTCTTAATAATTTTTTATTTACAGGAATTTTTATAACGACATTTTATGCACAATTGTGTTGCATTTTTAAATAAACAATAAAATATTGCTAGATCTGTACTTGCTTTCATTTACTTAATTTAATTTGTTCTTAAATGTTATTTTACTATACCTTAATAGGTAAGTACACACAAGTAACGAAAAAAATAACGAAACGTTGAAATAATGGATACTATTGTTGTTATTTTAAAATTTTAATAACGGAATTTTAACATGCCGAAAATCTTTGGACAATAAATAAATAAATTTAGAAGGCACAAAGTTCAAACTATATTTCTGAACCGTTTAAAATAAGATCTTATTGTAACTGCCTCCTGCGAATTACCTTTGATCCTTCAACGTAATCAGTAATAACAGTAATCGCAAATTCAAATAAATAATTATATTAATTATCACTTTTACTTATAGTTAAATAATTCGCGAAAACAATTAGAAAGTTTTCATTACAATTAAAACAGTGATACCTAAAATGTTTAGAAGCATCATTATCTAATTTTTTCTGTTATACATAAAAGAAACGCTTTTAAATACTCAAATATTAAAGTATTCAGTGAGTTCGATGAAAATTAGCCAAAATAGCTTATAACTGTATACTTTATGTTAAAGTATTAAAACAACATTTTTGGTACTACAGAACACCGGGTTCGGTGGTCAAAGTCCATAGGGATCAATTTATATTAAGAGTGTTGCTTTTTAAGTTCCAAAAAAGTAATTTAATAAGTAAAAATGTCGTTCTCTTTAATAAGGAATTTTGTGAAAACTCCATCTGCTTTAGGTGCAACCCAGCAGTATTTCTGTAAGTAAACACCTAACCTAACGTATGATTTGTGTATTCAATTGTTTTATTCATTAAATTTTTCTTAAATTGCAGTAGGTTCTGTCCGAGACTTTTCAATCACCCCTCAAAAAAAGGCCAAGAAAAATGTAACAGATAAAACTGGCAAAAATGTAGTTTTAGTTGACGGTATTCGAACACCTTTTTTGATGTCTGGAACTGATTATTCTAAATTGATGCCCCATGATCTTGCTAGACTTGCTATGATGTAAGTAATAAGAATCCTACTCCATTAATATTCATCTGTTGAATAAATATATTATTTATTTCATTAGGGGTATTGCAAGGAAAACAGGTCTTCCAAAAGATATTATTGAATATATAATTTATGGAACTGTAATTCAGGAAGTTAGAACTTCAAATATTGGAAGAGATGCTGCTCTAACTGCAGGTTATAGTGATAAAATTCCTGCCCATACAGTTACAATGGCATGTATCTCCTCCAACCAAGCCATAACAACAGGTATTCTTAAATCATAATTTATTTATGTAAAGGAACATTTCTAATGTACTTAAATTGCCCATAGGTATTGGCTTGATTGCTGCTGGAGTTTATGAAGTTATTTTGGCTGGAGGTGTTGAATTTATGTCAGATGTGCCAATAAGACTAAACCGTAAAATGAGGAGCCTGCTTTTAAGAGCCAACAAGGCAAAAACACCACTGCAAAAACTGCAGCTTTTAGCTACTTTGCGTCCCAATTTCTTTATTCCAGAGGTAGATTTAAAAAAAAATAAATATTGTTACAGATTCTCTATTTGTTAAATAATTGTAGCTTCCAGCAGTTGCAGAATTTTCTTCTGGTGAGACAATGGGTCATTCTGCGGATAGGTTAGCTGCAAGTTTTAATGCAACCCGCAAGGAACAAGATGATTATGCACTTCGTTCTCATACTTTAGCACAAGAAGCATATGAAAAGGGATTTATGACTGATTTAATTCCTGTTAATATTCCCGGCAAAGTTGAAACTATTGAGAAAGATAATGGCATTCGTGTGTCATCTCCAGAAAAATTGGCTAAACTGAAGCCAGCATTTATTAAGCCACATGGTACAGTTACTGCTGCCAATTCGTCGTTTTTGGTATGTTTAGATTTTAGCAAGCATCTTTCAAACAAATAACTTTCATTTAAAATGGATTTTTAGAGTGATGGGGCTTCTGCTGCAATAATAATGCCCGAAGCCAAAGCAAAAGCACTTGGATTGAAACCCAAGGCTTATTTAAGAGACTTCATTTATGTTTCTCAAGACCCAGTGGATCAACTGCTTTTAGGGCCTACATATGCAACTCCTTTGGTTTTGCAAAAAGCTGGACTCAATGTAAAAGATATTGACGTCTGGGAAATCCACGAGGCGTTTGCCGTAAGTTTTCATTTCATTTTATAATTTTATATGAATGACAAGTGAATAATTCACATGAAAAAAGATCCATGATTTAAAATTATATTTGTACATCTGCATGTACTATTTCGTTAATTACTTTTCAAATGCTCAAGTATTAAATTTTTTTTCAATTTTAACTAAGCTAAGAAAAGATGTAAAGTAATGTTAAGTTTATACAAAAAAAAGCTGTATACTCTAAAACTTACGCTAATAATTCGATTTATGCAAACAGTAATACATTAAAATTCTGGAGAAAATCGGCGCGTTTGTATTAATCTTTTTTACGATCAGGTTTCTGTTTCAATTTAATTTGGATTTTAAATACATTTTTGTACTTCAGACTATGTACCAGAAATACAATTTTTTTGTAAAATCATATTTTTATAATTAAAGTAATTTTTAATTAACCTTTAGGGACAAATGGTAGCCAACATGAAAGCAATGGATAGTGATTGGTTTGCAAAGAATTATTTAAATAGAAACAGCAAAGTTGGAGCACCAGAATTGAAAAAAATTAATGCATGGGGAGGATCTTTGTCCATTGGTCATCCATTTGCTGCGACTGGTGTCAGACTTTGCATGCATGCAGCCAACAGGATGGTAAGAGAAGATGGAAAATTCGCATTAATAACTGCTTGCGCTGCAGGTGGTCAGGTAAATTAATTATTAAAGCCAAATAGTGATAGAGTTTAACTAAATAGCTTATTAATTTAACAGGGCGTTGGTATGATTTTGGAGAGACATCCAGATGCAACACCTAATTAAACACTTTATGTCCAAATAAAGGTGCCTCAAATTTTGTTATTGTGGTAGAAGATATTTTATCATTTATTTTATACACTCAATCTAAATACACTTTTATTTATTTATCTATTATTTGTTTTTAACCCAACCACTTGAGCTGCCTACGTTAACTAAATGATTCCTTACTGCCTCATCTAATATTACCTTTATATCTTTGCAACCTCTCAAAGCTTCCTTCAACACTTTTGGTAAGTGATCAAGATGAAATCGTTGCGTCATTTCCATTAAAACGATTTTTTCAGACATTGGTAAAGCGGCGACCGTTAATGTGGGCCCCCCTAGAACTTCCTCTTGATAGGAAATGTCTACCATAGGAATGTCATTATTTGCTAAACTAGCAGTACATGCACAAACATATTCTTTCAATGGAATACCTGCATCTATGAGAGCCAATGTTGAAGCATTAACACAAGCTGCATAAACACCTAAAAGAAACCTACTTAAAAAAAAAAAAACAACTTACTAAGTTATAAAACAATACCTCCATCAGCATGAAGTACTTCAACATAAACATCAATCTGTGACCAAGGATATAATTCTGTTTTAATTGTAGCCATTAGGGCTTGCTTTAAATGAATCGACATTTCTGTAGATTTTCTGTCACCTCGAGGTCTTCTTTTACGCTCACCAGTTGAAAATACTGCCATACTAAACTGACAATTTACAATTGCAGCATCATATTGTGCTTTAGATCGACCACCTCGTACCTTAAATTAAATGAATTACCTTGTTACTCTGGGCAATTTAAATCGAATATACCTGATGTGGTCCATAAACGGCAGCTAATACTTTAGTTAGACCCTGTTCAATATACGCACTTCCATCGGGTTCTGTGAAGACTCCAAGTTTACAGCGAATTCTTCTCAGCTCTTGGGCTCTTCTTCCATCGGCACGTAAGCCAATTTTTGAAAGTAACTCTTTTCTACTCATTTTTATAGGTTAAATAAAGCTGAAATGCCCAATAAATCATACATCTCTCTCAATTAATTGAGGTTAAGGATATGAGGTTATAATTACTGTTTGAATTTCTTTCCATAGATAATAGATATACAAAGGTTTCTTACTGTTGTGTCTCAACAACACTGCAAGGTATTTTGCTCCTTTATTTTTAGTAGCCTTTGAATTTTTTTTCTAACCAAAGTCACTTGTTTGAAAGAGTCAATTTTAGAATTTCCGAGTTCTTTTTACACTAACAAGCAATGGTAAGTTCATAATTACTTTTGTTTGGTTATCCACATCAATTATGTACTTGTAGTCTTTAGCTGAAGTGGAAGATATTTTAAAACGAATTCAGAACTACGAAGGAGTGGTGGGTTATATTATCGTAAATTCTGAAGGTATTTACCTTTCTTCTTAATTCAACATAATAAAATTTATAGAGAAATTTGTAGGAATACCTGTACGAACTACAATTGATAACACAACTTCAGTACATTACGCAGGATTAGTATGTGCTTTATCATTGAGAGCTCGAAACACCGTACGAGAATTGGATAAAAGTGACGAATTAAAACTGATAAGACTTAGATCAAAAACGCATGAAGTAATGATTGCTCCCGATAAAGAACTAATTCTTATAGTAGTTCAAAACCCCGTTGATTAATTTTGTACCATCAATATTAATTTACTTACAGATTTATTGTTATAATTATTTGTGCTTTATTAATTGAAAATATATTTAAAAAACATCCTTAAGCTTTAACTACAAGCAATCATGAAACTATTATTTGTTTTAATATCCTCGAATCACGGGATTCTATCTACATCCTCGGCTTCACAGTATGCCTTAATATTATCTATGATCTTATCTATGGACAGGACTGACAGCATTTAATATTTGTTATAATTCCTAAAATAATTAATTTAAAAAAGCAAGTACAATTCTGTTTCATTTGTTTGGTTTTATCAATCAAGCAAATTTAGTGAGTAATAATCTAATAATTATTAACAGTGCATAACCAAAATAAATTGACGTTTTAAATTTCAGCGAAGTTTTATCTAATATTAAGTGAAACATAAAAATATGGTATGATGTTATAAAAATCATTTGTAGTTCTCGTATTGTACTTGATTTTTTTTAGTCAAACGAAGTTGAAGATACATTAAAAAGAATCCAATCTCACAAGGGTGTCGTTGGTACAATTATAGTTAATGCAGAAGGTACCTACTAGCAATTTAGTTACAAAGTTTATAACTTATTATTGTATGCTGTAGGTATTCCAATTAAATCTACCTTGGACAATACAACAACTGTCCAATATGCAGGGCTTATAAGTCAGTTAGCAGATAAAGCAAGAAGTGTTGTAAGAGATTTAGATCCTGCAAATGATTTGACATTTCTAAGAATCAGATCAAAAAAACATGAGGTAATGGTGGCCCCTGATAAAGAATTTATCCTGATTGTTATACAAAATCCTGTGGATTAAATTATGTTAACACATACTAATTATTATAATTGAACTTATATTTATGCTAATAATTTATTTTTTTCCCTGTATTATTGATTTTAAATTATAAATATTGGATGTACATGAGATATTTTATTGTTTATCAAAAAACTGTTTTTACAATATAAACTTATTGAGACATTGAATTTTACTTACTAGATCCTAAACTCTCCGTTTCTGAGTACTTATATAAAGTACATTATTACCACGGATGAATGCATCACCAAACTTATTTTTTAATTGACCATTAACATATTCTTCTGTTTGCTCCAGTGCAATATTCATATAGCCATCAAGACATGCTAAAACGCCTGTAGAAAATATATCAAAAATTAAGAAACAATCACAATTATACAAGTAACAAAACAACCTCTGTAATCCACTCCACTATTTAATTTTACGACAACTGGCCGTTGATGTATTTGTTGAATAAAAGTTGACAAAGCTTCTTTTCTGCTCATTATGTTAAGACGAAGAAAACTGGTATCAGGAAAAAAAGCAAAAATTTGTACGATAAATGTATGAATTCTTAAGCAGTAGGAGCAATTCAATGAAATGATTGTTGAATAAAATTCGAGGTTAGAAAGATGCCAAACATAAATACTGCAGATTAATGAAGTGTTTAAACTAGTGGTTATTTAGTTTAATTATGTAAATACAAATATGTTAATTCATTTTTTTAATGAAAATACAGTAAACAGAATATATATAAAGCTAGTAACAACTTTTTTTAGGATAGAATATCTTTCTTACATATACATAGTTAATACAATTTTGTAATGTTTGGAACAAGGAAATATAGTGGTGAGGGCTTTAGCACCTCAAGAAGAGACTCACAAACTACAGAATTCAAACCACATATGGCCAATAGAAAATATGAAAGACATAAATCTAAAAGGCTGAAACAGGACGAAAACCCTTTACCAGGAACCAGTAGAGCCACCAAAAGCAAATGTATTATGTAACTTTCTTAGCTAAGTTCATGATAAGTAATATTTGGTAAAATTTTTAGTAAGGACTGAAAAAATTTTCAATGTGCCTGTATACATACTTGATAATGGAGGGTATTCTGCTAAAGTTGGATTATCTACCAAAGATACTGCAAAGTAAGCTACTGATTAATGTATTACATTAAACAGTGTTATTTTTAACTAAAGATCTTAGTGTTTTGTTTCTCTTTGTGCAAGATAGAAAAATTTGTTTATTTTCAGTGTAGTACCCAATTGTATAATGAAAGTTAAATCAGAAAGAAAAAGGTTTTTTATTGGAAATCAAATAGATGAATGTTTGGACTTATCTGGTTTATATTACTTATTACCTTGTGAAAAAGGATATGTTACAAAATGGAATGTTCAAAAGCCAGTTTGGGACTACATTTTTAATAATGTATGCCCCATTGAAGAAAATCCTGTAATTATGACACAACCCCCTTTTAATTTTAAAGCAATACAAGAAATTACAGATGAAATATTTTTTGAAGAATATGAAGTAAAGGCAATTTACAGGGCAAATCCAACGGATTTTGCTTACTATCAATACAATTGCAATGCTAAAGGTAATCAAACATTTCTTGCTAGAAAACATTGTAAACAGTTTCTCACCTCTAGGGGACAAAGTTCCTTGTATAATCATAGACACAGGCTTCAGCTTTACTCATGTAATACCATACATAGATGGTAAAAAGTACTACAAAGCAGCCAAACGTATTGACATAGGTGGAAAGGTATGTTATACAGGGTGTACAAGAACGTTGGTGTGAAAATATATGAATGTCTTTACTATGAGGTCACCATAGGGCATCCTGTACATGTATATTAATATACCTACATGTATTATGTTTAGTTGTCTTCTAATTCATTTTTTACCATTACAGCTTTTAACAAACTACTTAAAAGACATTATATCATATAGACAACTGCATGTGATGGATGAAACATACATAATAAATCAAGTAAAAGAAGACTCCTGTTATGTGTCTTTAGATTTCAAAGAAGACATGAAAATTGCCGGACTACAGGGTGAATCTAACACAATTATTCGGAACTATGTCCTACCTGACTTCAACAATATCAGAAGAGGGTAAAAATTTATTTGACTATTTGAAAATCGTACAAAAGTTTTGTTATATATGAAGCTTTCACATTTTTTTATCTGCCAAAGTTACGTACAAAAGCCCGAAGATTCTTCGGTTCCTGAAGGATGTCAAATTCTTCGTCTAAATAACGAAAGATTTACTGTACCTGAGCTTCTATTTCACCCGTCCGATATAGGAATGGACACCATGGGGATAGCAGAGGCCGTAGTTAAATGTATATTTAATTGTCCAGAAAAATATCAGTCCCAATTGGCCCAAAACATTATTGTTATGGGGGGTAATGCCAGTTTTGAAGGCTTTGGAGAAAGACTTTACAAAGAAGTTAGATCTTATTTGCCAGATCATTGGAAAGTTAATGTTTACAAACCTGAGAAGTAAGTTAAGAAAAAATTAACTTCTATAATAAAAAATGTTTGTTTTCAGTCCTATCACATACGCTTGGCTTGGGGCAAAATCAATGAGTGAAGATCCCAAGATTAAATCTCTACTGGTTACTAAGGAACAATATGAAGAGCATGGACCACATTTTACATATGAACGATTTAGTGATTGGTAAGTACAATTTCATTTCAATTGCGTTCTTAATTGCTCCAAATTTTTAATTATTCAAAAATGAATTTGTAGGTTGCAAGCAAAAAAAGAAGATCTAGACAGCTCTCCTATGGTTGAAGTTAAACCTACCACCGAAAGTGTTCTTTTAAAGGCAAATTTTTCTAGGAAAGACTTGTTCGGCAAATACGATCCTGATTTAGAGGAAAATTCTAATAATGAACAGAAAAGTGAAATTTTGGATACAGGTTTTTCGGTTTTTACTAATCCTAATGAAAGTAAAAATATCACAGACGATACGAGTAGAAGTAGTAAAAGTTCAGATATAATATCAGAAGGTGCTTCTCAAAGTGTCTCAAGTGATTCAGCAAATAAAAACTTGGACTCTGAGGTGTTTATATGCAACACAGACGAAAACAGCTCTTGTACAAATGCATACCCTTCAGGATTAAATATGTTAGATACCTACGATTTTGATATTTTCAATCAAGGATTTGTTTAATTTAATCAATTATTTTTCTATTCGACTAATTTATTAATCTGAATAAATTTTTTTACTATGCTTTGTTTTGATGCATATATATGTATATTGCATGTAAAGCAAAGATCTTATGAAGAAGAACATATCAATTGTAAAACAGTTTATTATTTTAAATCTTCGGATAATGAATTGTTATTTGTAAGTTACAGTACGAATTTTAAATAGCTGGGCCTATCAAAATAAAAAGCTTATACACAATATACAGAAGATATTTACAGACTTCTACGTGACAAATAGTTAAAAAATATGATAAGAAACTACAAATTATTTTTTTTAAATATTTATATATAATATGCAACAAAGACGGTGTGTAAATGTCATTTCTGTAAAATCAGAAACATAAAACTACCAATCGTAAAACATCCGATTCTTTAAAAATATTATGGGATGTTGATTATTAATACACGTCAAATGACCGATAAATAGAAAAAATTGATTTAATTAAAGGTCCCAATTTAGTTCACTTTATAATAAATTAAACGCGTGTTACACTTTTTCATTGTTTTAAAATGTAAGTAAATGTCATACAATTACATATTTAAACTAACACCCCATTCTTTAAATATATCGTAGTTAACAATTAAAAGAAAAAAAAAATGAGAAAATTCGGAATTAATTTACCGCAGTACATTCATAAATGCAGTCGAATAAGTAGTGAAAATATAATATCTACTGTAACGATATCAAAATCACCCTGCCACACATTAAAGGTACATGCCATACATTGTCTGATTATTTTTATCACATCGAAACACCAATAGCGGACCTTTATACCACGCCCATTAATCGACGAAATCGAATTCTTTTTCTGAAATTGCATACCTAACATAACGAAGAGGAGCGAGATACTATTAATTCTATAAACAATATACAAAAATATGTGTCTCATTTACTGTAATACGATATGGAAGGCACAAAAAATGGTTCAACTTGCATGTTTTGACAGATTTAATGGCATATCTGAAAACAACATAATTAATAATCAATATTATTCTTATTTTTTAAGTTATATGTATGATGTAGCATTTACAATCACTAATTTGTGTTTAAAAAAAAAGTGATACCACTCATATTCCACTGATTTAATAAAAATTCCTTTTATTGTCGAAGACTACCCGAATTATAACGCTACTGCATATGATATGTTTTTATCCCATATCTGTATCAAGATTTAGAATTTTGTGAAATAATATTTGCAATTGAGCTATTACTAAGAAATGGAAAGCAATATTCGAATTTGAATTTTCTTTTTTCTTCCATGTTAATCTCTATTACCAGCTACCAAAAAGATTACAAAGGAGTGTTAAAGAATTCAGGTAAACGCCGCCAATTCATAATTCAAAAATATACTTTTTTAGTGCTGTAAATACTACTACAATTTGTAGAATATCAAAATACGAAAAATTTAATTACATACCTGTTAGGTTGTCTTCGACGCAATCCTCCTCCTTTATACGATATTCTTCGTTTAAATTATATTCTTCTTTTATAGGTCTAGCCTCTGAAATCCACGAGCACGAAGGCGCTGAGTTTCTCAGATGAACAGGTAATGGTGCTACAGGATACGATGTAGGAGCAATATAATTTCGACTGTACATGTTCGAGGGGTAATAAGGAGGCGCCGTAGGGTACGAATACATGTAGGGGGTCATGAAATGGTGATATGCTGGTGGATATGAGGACAGAGCCCGTTTATCCACTCGCTGTATACCATACAATGAAAAATCAATAAATTACAACACTACATTCACTACTACAAAAACTTATATATGTCAATTGTTAGTAAAGCCCTGAAGCAATATTCTGATACTGAAAATAAATTTCATTCAGTAAGTATTTGTTAAAAGATTTTTAGATAACAAAAACTGTAATAAATGACGATATAACAAAATTGAGATGTTTTCCACATATAGAATGACATTCAAACAAAACTTTTCTTTTAATTAAATATTAAAAAATTAGTCCCTCCCAATGATACTCACCGAAAGTTCAATTGAACGTAACCTGTCGACGCTCTCAGAGTACCAAGGGTCTTCGGAAGAGGGTGGTCGGTATTGGACCGGCGTAAACTGACTAGGTGATTTGTCGGGCGACCCTCGCACATGCGTGTTCCGATCGTCCGCCAACAGCGACGTGATACTGTAGCTGCAATTCTTTTGTATTCGGACTTCTTCGGGCGTACTCGTTCCGTTTGCCTGTGAGGTAGGCGGACTGCTCCTTTCTCCCTTAAGAGACTGTTGTAACTTATTATTAGTTGAAGATGTGGGCGTAGTTGCCGGTGAAAATTGTCCAGGGGCGACGGGTGGTACGACTTTGTTCCTACTCCTTTTCTGACACGCATCATTTGTTGTATACTTGTCTTTCTCCATTTCACGTAAGAAACGTTTCCGGGGCGAAACAACAGTTTCAGGACGAGTAAGGGCGACACCGCCCGAAACTGAACGATCGATAAGCGACTGCACAACGGACATTAACGAACGCACGCGATGCTGTTTCGTCACTTTGCGGATATTGCACTTTGAGTCCGAAACGTTGTTTTGGACGTTTTTGTAGTCGAGTGATATCACACGACGACGTCTCAACGAACGTGGTTTCGACACACTCAGTTTCTTTGGACACCAATAATAGAATGACATCTCTTTGGAAAGACTTTTACGTGGCATTACTTGCTTCCATGAATGGTCACGCTGCCATGGCGACGATTGCAGTGAGCTGTTATCATCAGATACTGAAAAATGAACAAACTCTATACTTACTAATCAAATATACTACGGCATTCATGCTCTTGTAGAAAACTTCTGTGTTCATCACATTTAGTTAAGTATAAAAAAACGTACATGACACATAATTTAAACTCATAAGGTTTCATAAATAATATATTTAATATTTACCAAGTACTTGGACTATCTACTTAAATGTACCTATTAATTTCTTCTTCAAATGCCTTCCAATTTTCCAAAAACAAATGTTTATATCCTACTTTTAAAATAGACCAACAGATCAACTGTACTAAAATTTGTAGGAAAATTAAATTTAGGGAGATTAGTATACCATTTTATTTATAAAAATAGAACTAGGTATTTATCTCTAATTTGAATTTATTTAAAATAGTTTACCATATTTGAATAGGTATGCCTTGTAATTCAATAACAAACATTCAAATGTACTTGATACTCAAGTATATTTTACAAACAAAATAAAAGATGAAAACTTTAACAATGTCATATTAAAATTAATGTTCATATTTAAAGTCTCTTTATTCTTTATCAGTTAAGATTATTTGTAAAATCCCAGTCATGTACAGACAAGCTCCACGTTTCTTTGGGCTTACTCACCAAATGTACTTTTTATGCTGGTATTTCATTTTTCAAAAGTAATGTAATTCTTTATTTATACTTACCACTAAGGGAAGTACTACTTTCCTGTTTGTAAGTGGTTGTTGGTACAGCATTAACTTGAGGAGGCCAATAGGTTTTTCTAGGTACAGAAACCCATGAAACTTTCTCGCCATCTCGAGCCCTCTCCAATTCCAGAATGAACTTTCCATCTACAAAAATGAAATGTATGTCTTTGATGAGTCTAATTAATCAACACTGCTAGAGTTATCCTACCTTTAAAAAATTTTAGACGCCCCCCCTGATTGTAAGGGGTTGATGGACAGTCTTCCTTCACAGTAACATTTCTCCCATCTAAGCTCCCGTTTGTACCATGTCTCCTGTAGGTTTCTTCTGACATTTTTGAACATTTTGTCGAAATGATATTACACTCTTTTTGGTCGGCAATACGCATTTCATAACGTACTTGCAAGGGCGATAGCCCGCGCGGAGTCATCACAATAACCATTCATTTTTCTACCCACCACTGCCTCTTAGCCTAAGTTTGGTTTATTATCTCCTCTCATATTATTTTTCCACCTGCTGCTGACACTACATCGAAACCCGGAGGAAAGATCGCGTAAACAGTACAAAATTTGGTATCCAAAACACAAAATAAACGTAAATTCTTAGTCCACATATTTCTTAGGCATAACTCACGAAACAAAAACAATCATTATTTATTTAATGATTGCAACGACTGTTAGCAATTCTTCTCTAGGTTCGTTCACACTAAATGGATCTCAAAAATTGGATGAGTTTACAAATTAGTCAGTTGGTATCAGGGGCGTGGGAAATTAAAAGTAAAAACTAATTTAAATGGCTCCAAACTAACAGATGGCAAGCTTTTTAAAATTTTTAGAATAAATGTTCAAGAGTATAATCGCGGGGATACAACTAATAAATATCAAATAAATTATAATAATTGTATTAGGCGTTACGTTAAAATGAATTCTTGTCAAATAATATAGGCGTAAAATATCAATGAAATTTTGTTTAAATTACTTTTTAATTAAACAAAGATATTAAAGCATATTTAATTAGCAATTATTCTCGTGACTTAAGCTTAAAGTCGGTTTTTTCCTTTGTTTATAATTTATTCTTATAAAAAAACTATAAAACATTGCACCGAATACTTAGACACAATCTTACAAGAACATACATATTTTGCGCATGTCCAAATTGTAGTAGAAGTTTAGCGCGAATATTCAAATCAAACACCAAACGTCTGTTTACAATAACAAAATTAAGTCTTTATTATAGTTATATTACAGTTTTTTTATTTAAATTCCTTTCTATCTTTATTACATCAAAAAAAAATCAAACAGGCATTGTGACAGATTATTTTATTTTCAATATACATAATATACAGTAATGAATTGCAAAATTAATCTAATTCGTAACTTTTACCGAATCGTGAAGGATAAAAACATAAATAAATTAATTAAAATTTACTAATTTACAAATATTTGATTTAGCAAGAAATAAATACCTACAATTACTAATATTATTTATGTATATGTATATCACTAAGCACTTAAGCATTCCAAATCTACTATTTTTATTACATTTAAACAAGAAACTGAACCAGAAATCACAAACGTATTAAAGTCGACTAGAAAATAAATATCATAAATATTTACTAATAAAAAAATATAAAAAGTTATAATTTATTTCCTACAGTCAATGTAAAGAAAACGACAAAATAGTAAAGGAACAAATCAAAGAATGATCAATTAAAAACAGAAAATTAAATCACTAAATTATTATTCAATTCTATGTGTGATATTCCATAGCTACTATTACTTACTGAAATCTAATTTGATGGCAGTACAGTTCCTTAATTGATTAAGTGATAACATAAAACTATCATACCGAACATTATTGGAGCTTTACACTGCTCATAAACCAAAACTGTAAATTGCTGGAAGATTTCTTTAAGCTACTACATCACAAACCGAAAGCAGTTATTCTACTATTACAATTATAAGGTAGACAGACCGGGAAGGGAATCAATAAAATTTAAACTATCAAATGAGCAAATCGACAGTTTGTAATATGATAATCGAAAATCCAGTCTTTTCATTTCGTTTTAATCAATCTAACAGTGCTTAATATTTTTGTTTAAAATACAGCATAAATACATACATATGTATTATAAAATGATATTGTCATGAAAAATTTATGAAAAACATGTGTTATTCCTGAGTATTTAGGCCACTTTTTTTTATTGTTATTAACAGAAAATAGCAAACATGTTTGCTATGTTTTTAGAAAACATATACATTATATAAGAGCAAGATAAATGGTAAAAATAAACTACTGTTGATAGTAGGCAATACTACACTTGAAATTAATTTAAAAACGTTTGCCCTACAAGGAACACTTTTCTAGAAGACTTACTGTCATTTTGGAAGAACTTCTAAATAAAAAAAAAATGAAACTAAATTCGTATCACTTTTTCAATACTTGTGTGTACAAATGTAACCAATATTTGGATGAAAACATTTATAATATAGCACCATGAAGACCAGCCCCAAAAGAAATGGGAAGATGGTAAGATAAAAAATTGGTTTATAATATAAACTTTGTTGGACCTCAAGATCTGCCTTTGTGTACCATACGAAAGTAGCAATCGTATTCTCAATAAAGAGAATTGTATAGAAAAAAACGTACCTATACAGTGTTCTACCTTGGTTCAGACTTATATGCGTGAATATGTACACAAACCCGAAAATTGCGTAGAAAATCGACTCGCCCAGTTTGCTATCACAAAAATTTCTTTCCGTAGTTAACAAATGCAACCATATTGTCATGATTAACCAGTGCAGAAAGAGACAGAGGATCGTAATTTCTGGAAGAATTGATGCTATTACACTTATACACAAAATTCTGGACACTGAAACAAAAGGATAACTATTAAATGTTTACATACTTATAATAACAGACTTATCATTTGATAAGACATATTTAAAAATTAGATCATAACATTAAAATAACCCTCAGCAATTGTTTGGTTTACAATATAATTCTTGCAAGTAATAGCTTAGCAGCTTAAACAAATAAATTAATTTGGATATCGATAAAGAAATGGAGAGGTATAATGACAAGTTTGTAGGAATAGGTTTCTAGGTAGTAGGTATATATTCTTTATTCTTCGTTAATTAGCTTTATGTAGTACTTTAAATATTTAGTACATCAACATGCTAATAAACATAAACAAATAAGAAAAACTTGATAAAATTGATCACATTGGAACAAAATAATAATATGTTCTCTAATAATAATAATTTGAAATACTGCAGTGAAAAAATAAAGATTTCATCAAAATAGGAAGCAAAACAAATGTATGATGGTAGGCAAATGTATTGTCTAATTCCAATTTAATTTTAATGCTTTTATACGATTATTAGAGAATAGTCAAACAAGAGGTAATAGTAATTTTATAATAAAAGCTAATTTTAGAAGAATGATATCAGAAAAGATTCCTCTAAATTTATGAGTTTGTACTTCTTATATGTGAAGGTCAATATAACACTATAACTTTTATCATATGACAAAGATTATCTACTGTTTTAAAATTGATCATTTTCGAATCAATTACCAAGTAAACAACAGAAACAAAGATACACACTTTCACTAAACAATAAATATTATTTAAATTCAAATAGTAATCAAAAGTAAATACCTGTTACCAAAAAATGCCATACAAATTGCATAATAGTCCCTAGTATACTTATATTTCCTTTGTCTTTTAATGAAACTCTTAACAACCTTTGATAAGAGGCCATAGACCAACCCATACTTCCAAAAGAACTTCCTATTGACAAAACTTGATGAACAACTGAAAAAGAAAAATGAAAAGGTTTGTTATCATAAATTAATTAAAAACTTACAAGTAAGGGTATTAATGCCTTGTCCATGTGTATAGAAAATTATGGTTAGTTGTAAAATTTGTTGTGGGGCTGCTTCAAGGAAACATTCCAACACTCTCAACAGGGCCACATCAGAATCTTCTTTCACCATCAATTCGTAATATCTCCTTTGATTTTGTGTATCATTTTTCTTTTCAGCTTCTTTTGATTTCAAAGCATAAAACAATGCATCAAAGTATCTTAAAACTGGAGCAAGTTGAAACACCAGTACTAATAACCAACAAATAGACCTCTTTGTAAATTTCGTTGTTAAATTATTTGCACTATTACTTTGGTCTAAGACATACCTAAAAGTAGAAAGTATGACTACAAAGGAATTAGAAATACCTATTTAACTTACATTCGAACACTGAATGCTGTATTTATTAAAGCAGGCACTGCAATAAAACCCACTGTGGCGAAAAAATATGGCATTTGATTACTTCGGTAGTAAGTATAAGCTAGATTGCAATCCAATCCTATATCAACAATATGACTTATAATTGAAATAATAAATCCAAATATATCACAGTAAGTGGCCCTATCTTTTGAAGGTAATCTGTCCACTTCGTCGGCATAATTTTCTCGTTCACACATTTTACTATGATGAAGGGGCATTATATGAGCAAAAGAAACACAATTTGGCACCTATAATAATAAGTTCTAACAGAAATTCTGATGTTAACATTTTGTCACCTAATGGAAAATAACATTCTGAACTTTCACTATTTCAATTAATATAAAAAAAAGTCCATCCACAAATTTAAAAGCTAATAGGTAAATATTCATACGAACAGATCCACACTCAAATTGTCAAGAAAAATCTAATGAGAACCATAGATGAAAACGTCATGAAAACCACAATCATTAATAATCTCTTCATAATCATAGATACTTATCATAAATTAGATGTAGATGTAAATTAACTTTCAACATACGGAACGTATATCTATTATCTATGATACAGGATAAATAAATAAATAAATAGGTCTTCAGTTTTTCATAGCGTAATTTTTTTTGTCATTTCATGAAGGTAGGGACCATATGATCATCTCTATTGTAAAAAAAAATTGTGAATAAGAATCACTAAAAAAAACTTACAAAACACTTTATTTTTTAATAGATTTACATAAAATATAAAATTATAGACATATATAACATATTAACAATGATCACCATTTTAATGTGTTGTACAGACATTTTTTTCTATAGGAGGTAATCCCTTAATATTCCCCAAGTTATAACATTCAAAATATGTCATTACAAATTATTTCAACCTTATTTGCCATATATACTTACATAAAACATAATTATTTTAATCAATCTTATACTATTTTGTTTGGCCCCCTTTTTTATAACCTGGACCTTTGTTTTGCCCCTTTGATCTATTACTAGAATGGCCCCTAGCCTTTTCTTGTTTTGGCACTTCTTGTGTATTTTCTTCAGAAGTTTTCTCTGCCTTGAAAACCCGAAAATAGTATATTAACAACTGATCATTTCCTACATAGTTGTTCAGGCAATCAAAAGTGGCAGAGGGACAATTGTCATTTGAAAAAAGAAAATCATTGTTAAACTCAATGGGCTGGCAATAATCACCATAAATGATCTTTTTTTTTGGAAGACCTGGTTTAAAAACTTCAACTTCAAAATGATAATCAGAAGCTTGATTTGAATCTCCAATATACTGGAAAGCCCAACAAAATTTTCCATTGTTTGTTTTGGTCTTAAACCAAAAGATTTCATTGTAGGCTTCCACAAGATTTACAAAATAAGAATCTGCCTTCATCTTATTATGGCACACATTTCTTTTACCATATGGTTTGGTTGTAAGTTTCTTAGATTCCCAGTGGTTCTTTATTTCAGTTTTGCTTCCTCTAAACGAACATCCATTCATAGGACAAGAAAACTTTTTAAATGGGCAAACTTTATCATGAAAATCTCTCTCTGCTAATGTTAATCTTGACTGACACCCATACGAATTATTAGCACATGGATATTGTATTTTACTAGCAAGGGACTCAAGATTTGTGTTTCTTGCATCTGTAAAATTTTGCTGGCATAGCGGGCATTTGGACAGTTTATTTCTACATACTGCACAAATGCTATGACCTGTTTTACACTGCCTTATTGGAGGTGGCATATAATCTGTACAAACTGGACATTCTAATTCACGCAGCAGATCAGCATATAAAGCATCCATTTTTTTTATAGATGATCTAAAAAAATAAAATTTATTATAATTGAATTAAAAGAGAAGCAATAGTTACACACACAAAAAGTACTACAACAGGTTTACTTAATTTATTACCAATAAGCAATTAATCTTGAGCAAAATCCAAATTTAATAGCAAGTTATCAACTATAATAACGAAAATATAAATAACTTCATATGGGGGATTTTTACACAGTGTTTTTAGTAGAACCTTATCATCTATAATCTGTACAATTGCATATACTTATTAAAATAAATTATCTATGTACCTAATCATAGATAATAGTACCTTATCATATCTAATCATGTGACTAACAAACACATACATTTTACATTAATAAAAGAGGCATGCTCGTATAACAAAAACATTATTATTATGCATTAAACGATTAAACCAAAACATATTTTAAATACTGTTATGTTTGACTTCAATATTACCTTTATGTTTTTTTAATATTATACATTAAAAAAATTATAATATTTACACACAATGCCACACATTCAAGATATTTATCACACGTATTTATGTGCTTTTCATAGATAGTTCTTTTTTGGATTTTGTGACTTGTTACTTTTGGAGTTTAGATCATGTTTGGATTATTCTTTGGTGTTGAAATCCTTATGGCTTCTTGGGTGCCTTCAGTTTTATGATATTATTTGCTAGTAGTGTTCTTTATATAATGTCCTTTTAATAAAATGAAATGAATATAGTTAAAAATTAACACATACACTTAAAAGCGCCAATTTTTTTTAATTTAACGTAGTATGAGATGATTACACTAAATTAATTAAATAAAGTGAATTTGAAACTCTAGGTTACATTTGTTTCAATAATTATTTACATTGCATTATTTAAACAAAAAATATATAGTTAGGTAGATACTTTTTTTTAAGGTGAAAAATAATAATTCGAAGAGAATAATTTGCTTAAGGAAGAGATGTTAAGTAACAAGTAACTGTTTAATAAAGACAAAATTAACCCTGCGGTCTTTACATGTTAAATTAAATTCGTACTTTTTATTTTGAATGTAATTTTCGTTACATCAGAAAAATTGAATGTTTTTTTTAAACAAACATTTTTGTAAAAACTAATTTTTTAAATAAATGAATAGTTATCTGTAACATTTGTCAAATTTTTATTTTTTTAATTTTTGTAATTTTCTGTTGTGCCAATAAAAATAATGCAGCTATTCACCACTCGTGCACGTTAGCGCTACTGTATCTTTTCTTTAGTTCATTCAGACGCCAGCAACAACTTAGAAAATGGCGTCCGTGTGTTTCCAAAAGTTACGTGTAGTGACAAAACAGTGAATAAAAAAAACTAGCGGTGCAAAATGAGTGATAAGTAAATGTAATGTAGTTACAGTAATACTAATTACTGAGTGGTTCAAAATG